ATCTGTAATCAAGCCCAGGATATGATTTTTAGGTTGCTAGGGCTAAAACCAGTTTCTTCATGACATCAGTAGAAAGACAAATAAGCTATAATTGTTCAAAATCTTGTACTCGGTGAGCAAAGAAGCCCTGATAACCAGATCAGCAAAACTGGAACAACAAGCCTATCTTGTCTGCCAAGCTGCCAGACATTTTGTGCTCATGGCTGTGGAACTTATCCTATTTATTTTTGGTCACTGCTGCTGCTGAAAAGATTAAAGGCAAAGGTCATCACAGAAAGACTCTGAATTACGTGATACCCAGTATTCTTTGTCTTTCTCGTGCACTATTCTTTGTCTTTCTGGTGTTGAAAGGTAAACATGTACATACGTGAAAGGCCATGTGGTCATTCTTCAGACTGTTAGCCAACATGGTTCTGTTTCTAAAGAGAGTATTCGTGTTAATCTAGTGAATTATAAGAGCAGCAGAACGATGTTTTGAGACACCAAAGGCCTTGCTAATGCTGTAGTAGTACGTGTGCTGACAATCCAGTTGGCTGGAGAAGCACCTAAAGGGTCCCAAGAGAGCTCAGACAATCATGTAGGCTGTATCCAAAATCAATAACCATATGGAAGAGAAGAAAAAATATATAAATTCATAGAATCAATAAGGTTAGGAAAGACCTCTAAGATCATCAAGTCCAACCATCAACCCAACACCACCAGGCCTGCCAAACCATGTCCCAAAGTGCCACATCTACACATTTTTTGAACACCTCCAGAGATGGGGACTCCATCACTTCCCTGGGCAGCCTGTTCCAATGCCTGACCACTCTTTCAGGAAAGAAGTTTTTCCCCATATCCAATCTAAACCTCCCCTGACACAACTTGAGGCCATTTCCTCTCGTCCTATCACTAGTTACTTGGGAGAAGAGACCAACACCTGCCTCACTACAATCTCCTTTCAGGTAGTTGTAGAGAGCAATAAGGTCTCCCCTTCACGTTGTCAACATTGTCATTTGTCTTGTTACCTTTGCCTGCTGACTATCCAGGACCAACAGGTAGAACTGGTGTCAAAAGGCCACCATGCACCTTCATTTTAGCCTCCACAATCTCAAACCCCTGCCAAACTGCTTTGGGAACCAACCTCTGTCCTGAAGTCTGGTAACAGAGAATGCAGCTGGAATTAACAGTGGTGACTCACAGAGGTCCCTTCCAACCCCTACCATTCTGTGTGTGATTCTGTGTGTGTGTGTCCAATGATACAAGAATCAATTATGCACAGGAATGACCAACAGGCACCCTAGGATGTTTGAGGAAGTACTTCTAGGTATTGTTCTCTCCATCGCCTACTGTCACTCATCTCAAGAATAATGGCATCCAGAACATTGGTCAACAGATGAAAAATTACTTCTGCATGTTTAACGCAAGGCAGAATCATCATAGAGTCAGTAGTTTCATTAGTAAGTACATGACAGATGGAGCAGTAGAGATCTCAGATGTGAAGCCTGTCATCTCACTAGAAGGCTGAAAAGAACTGAAGTGCAACAACAATCATAGGACAGAAATCTCAATGGCAAAGGTATACCGAGAAGCACTGAAGGAAAAAGAGATGAAGGAATGAAGCATTCCTGGTTTCATCCTATGCCATGAATGGTGAGAATAGGTGCACCAAGATCCTTGCCACCAAAAGCAAAACAGCAGGCATGACAGTTGGAAACCTACTGAATGTCTGAAACAACATTGGCTTGCAGGCATGACGGACATGCTCTCCTCAAGTGGTTTCTGGGTGGACAGTCACATTTTGGTAATAGCTGTTTCCACGTAGCCCTGTGTTTCGACAGGCCCTAACTAACTCAGAATCATTTGCACACAGTACAAATCACAGTCCTTTGAAGTAGTATGGACATTATCAATCAAGATCCACAATAAAATACTGGGTTTTTTTCCAAGTGTCTGACCTCACCCAAATCAAATTCAGTGTGAGTTGTACACACAGTGTTATGTTTCAAAAAGCATTATGCAACAGATAAATTTAATTCCAATAAACTTTGCAACTGCACATTTTAATTCTTATTTAAAGAAAGAGTGATTCTCAAGGGCTTGTTAACATTAAAACATAATGGCTTGAGATTAGAGAACTTTTACGCAGAATTTGGTACCTCTTTATTGCTAAGCAGAAGACTGCATTTTACATATTCATGTAACTAAATAGCTTAATTTTAAATCAGATTTTTAGCTTCTGTGTTGTTAAAATAGTGACTGACATCTCCCATTTACTTGATGATACTTTTTATTCAGATTTGCCAGGTTGCATGGTTGGAAACTGTAATTCAAGTAAACATATACAAAAGTTTTATTTTAAAATAATTAACAAGTGTCATTCCATTAAAATAAAAGAAAATTTTCTTTTAAACACAAACCAGTTTTGACTATGCATTTGTGTTCCCTGAATAAAAAGCAAACGCTTCTAATTAATAGATCTTTCATTAGAACTACTAAATCTCATCTTCTGAACTTCTACTTGAAGTGAAGAAGAAATCATTTTTTTCTGTTTTCTGAAGTCCCAGTATCTCAGCTTCAGTGGAACTAATAAATGAACAGAATTAGATTAACAAACTAGAATGAGAGAATACTCCTTTTCTGTGTCTAGAGACAGCTAATCCTGAGACAATAAGGGTTAGAAGGTCAGGTTCCAGACCCAAATCTTTAGCTAGTAACTTACTTTCAGCTTAGTTTTCACTTCTATTTGTTCTGTTTTTAAAGATGATCTGCAGACTACTTGAATTTTAAATAGAAGTGTAGGATTTAACTTCTATTATCAATTACAAGCTTTAAAAATATGAAGTTTATTTGATTTAAGGAAAAACACATACAGGTAAAAAATTAAGTTTTAAAAAGAGTGAGTTTTCCCCCACCTAGTAACTGGTAACTTGGCAACCTTCTATGCAGCACAGAAAAATAATAAAATCTTAGCATTCTTCAACTCCAGTGCTACTATACTACTTCAGTTTCCTAATTAAACTTTTAATTGATTAAGAAACCTGCAAGTTTCAGTCATGCGATTATCAGAGAAGAATACTCATTACAACACTATTGAAAAGTTCATATTACAAGGGAAACAGTTCACAGAGTTAAAACAGTAAGCAGCATAATTCCGTGCTTTCAAATCATCCTGCTTTCGTCCTTTACTACAATCCAAGGTTGAAGGGGTTTTATTGGTTTATTTTTCCTGACATTCTGATATTTTAAGAAGAACTATAAGTTTAAAGTCATTTTCTATGCTAAATGGACTCATGAACTACATCACACCATATCAGTCTCAGAAGAATTACAAAAAAATTATAAGCCAGAAATATATTCCTGGCACTGTCATCCACACTTTAGTTTGGAACATGACTAACTGTGGCTGAGCAACACGCTATCAATAAAAGACTTGAAACACAAAAGCAAGTTCTATTTTGGATGTCTTCAGGAGAGAAGGAGAAAAAGATTCAGCTACATTTCAAACATATTGGAGAACATTTAGTCTGATTTTTCAAAGCCACTAAACATGACAGTTATCTTCAGTCTTATGAAACTGGAAGCTTTACTCAGACATATAAGGTCTGAAGACAAGAAACACAAAAGTTTCTTCTCTTTAAGATTTCAAACCTTTTTAGGATTAGGGATTAGCAATATCATATGTGGACATGCGTAGTAGGTGATCTTAAAACTTTGTCTTTCAGCCAAACTTTCCATACATAAATCAACAAAGCTTCATTAAAAGTTCTGGAAAATCCAAGGACCTTTTGACAGCAAATAAGACCTACAGATAGAATGATAATTTATTCCAGTTCATGACTTCCTCTCCTTCCTCCACTACAGATTTGAGCCACTACACAGAGGGAATTCACTGGCAGGTAAAGACCTAAAGCCTGCCAGCAAAGTTCTTTGATGCAGGAGTCACGAAGGAGAGACATTTGGCCATAACTAAAGGAAAAAAGAGAAAAGAAAAAAAAACTACACTTTTTTACTCCCATCTTCTTTATCATAAATGAGGGAATAACTGAAAAAAAAAAAAAAGTACTTTTTACCTAGCTTACTGTGAATCAAAAACATTTTTTAAAACCTTTCATCACTAGTTCAATCTCATTAATTTGATGAAAAGCTAACCTGTTTGAAATATTTTTCCTAAGAAACGTCATAAAAACTTGTCACTTTTTGCTTTTCCAGGTGATTTTGTAAATGCTGCATGGCCCTCCCCTACAAAAGAGTTCTCACATACATCATCACCATTTCTGAAAATCATCCACAGACACATTCATTCCATTGTCATCCACTAACAAATTTCATAAATCCCACTAAATTTACTGCTGAATTAAAATTTTTTTTAAACAAACCACAGAAACTTACAGAAGCTTAAGCCTCCTGTCCTAGTTAAACACTGTTTAATTCAACTCCATCACATTCAGCTTCTACCAGTTCATTGTCTCAAATACAGAGACAAGGATTGCCTGAGATTAATTCTGTATCCACACTATGAATGTTTTGTTAGAAAACATATTTCATCAGAAAACTCATGGTAGATTCAGGCTGAACTACCGGACATCTTCTTTTCTGAATTTACTTTTCAACCTCACCTCCTCTCAATCAGTTCATTAATAGCACTGACAAAAGCTGCTAGTATTTTTAAATAATGCGTCTTTTTTTTAAATCCACACACAAATTAAGCCCTCTGACCATATTCTTAATATTTACAGAGGAAACAATGCAGTAGGCTTGAGGCAGTCAACCTCAAGTCAACCTAGAAAACATTACAGGAAGTTTTATTTTAGATACTACACACCAAGGTCAGAACACTAGTATTTAAAACTGTACACATGATTGATTACCATCAGCAAGCTACCTCATGCATACACAGAATTCCCTAACTTCTGTGCACTCCATTACTGCTCAGATTAAGTATATTTCAAAACAAAGTCACATTATTTGACTTTATGACAGAAAAAAGTGCAAATAGCTCCTTCTTTCAAAAATCATACCTTGATCAGAAAGAAAATCCAGCATGGTCTGGAGAAGGAAAGACAGATGCCTGACGCATAGACCAGGATTGCCCATTCTTCTGGAAGCATATACCAGTTCATGAAGCAAACGCATCTGCACTGCAGCCCATCCTCTGTGGGTTCCTAAAAAGTTAAGCCATCATTTTATACTTTTTAAAGTTAGAAGTCATCACAAACCAACTGGTTTTGGTTTTCTTAATATACTAAGCAGTCATATAATGACACTTCTAAAAATTACCCAATGAAACCAGTAATTACAAAATCCAAACCTTGTACTCAACACAAAAGAAAAATTAGGATCTTTGAGTTTGCTTGAATATTTAAATGTGAAAGCATTTTCTGGTTTATATGCTTGTCTATTGACTAATAAATTTATCATTAAAATTCAGAAAATGAAGTTAACACTTCCCTTGAAGTAAAAACAAAATGATACACAAAAACTTTGAAGTTTTATAGTTTTTACATTCTCTGAACAAGAAATTCACATGAGATTTCATAGAAACTTCATTTTTATCCAAATCAAGCACTTCTTAACCGTCTTCAAAGATCAAGCAAAAGATACTTTCTCTAAACGATTTCCTGGCCATTAAAAGTCAGTAAAAAGCAATAAACCTACAGGGCATGAGGCACATTTCCTGATTTTCAGTCTTTAAAAACTAAGTTTCAGACTATAAATTATTTCATATTTGCAAAGTGTCTATGCTAACAATAAATAGAGCATCATAATGTAACTTTTCTTTCAAAAACATAATATGCAGTAGTCTTCATGAAATTTAATCTGCTTTTAGTAGTAAGCAAGAGCAGTAATTTTTAAATAACAGATATTCTAAGATGTAATACTTCATAAACTTCTAAACAGCCTTCCTTCTAATATTACACTTCGGCGTCTGGCAAACTTTTCTAGAACTACTTACTGCAACCAAACCTTGAGTGTTTATATTTTGCACACAAGAGTCTCATTATTTTTCATGTGTGAAATGTCGTTCTTGTCAAGTAGTTCTTACAGCTTACAGTGATCTTTCTGTATGTCTCAGCCATTTTAAGGGTAAAATCTGACAAAGCACTGAAGTGCAACATAAAGGATGAAAAGAGAGACACCAATCATATAACTTGGGTTTTTTTAACCATCACTTCTTGCAGAACTTCTACAACCTCTTCTCCCAACACAGTCCCATCCCAGACTTCTCTTCCATCACAAGCCACAGCATATTTTTTCCAGTACATTCCCACTTCCTACACTCTTTGTCATCTTTCTATCTAGTCCACTTGGCATTTTCTGCCTCCGCTCACATGATTTCTTTCAGTGACTGCTAAAATCACACCAGTTGAAAAGAAAAAAATGACCATCCACATGTATGGTGGGTTGTCTACATGCCTGTTTCATCAACGGAGCTAAGAGAGCTTCTCCATATTCTCCTTTGACTGAATTGACTAGATAGCTCCATTATTGGAATGGCTAATGACCTGGCATATACAGAAACAAGTGAACTTAAATGACAACATCAAACTGGAATCCCAACAACAGTCAACGTACTCTCACAAAAGCGAGAATACTCTGGCTGCTGTTCATTCATATTTAAACCAGTTCGGAGTTTTCATACTGGTGAACTCCACCTCCTTTCCACCAATACATGCTCAGCCCATTGCTTGTTGCTCCTCTCCTGCAGCTACAACATTTAGTGAACGGTCCCCAAAAATGCTGCTATACAAAAGAATGCAAGTTTTTGGGCAACATGAGAAGGTTTGCTCAAAAGGAGTTCCCAAGCAGCACATGAGCTGTCTCTTCCTTTAGAGGAAAAATGCAGCACAGTGTATTAAAATTAAGACAACTTTTAATATTATTACTTTATATACAGCTTTTTTATACACTGATAAAATTGCTGAAACATAGCTCACCTAAAGAAAGGCAGCAAGCAGCGCATAACTTGCCGAACGTGAACACAGTATTTAACAGCTGCAAGAACTGACATGTGTTCTTATGGACTATTTTTCCTTTGTTTTTTTAACAGATGCAACAAAACAGTAATTTAAACGATATATAGCATCTAAAAACTGTTGAAATGCCTTAACCAAATGCTACTCTTACAGATGACATCACTCTGATCTAATTTGTGGAAAAATGTGACGTATTTGACCCTGCAGATACAATTACATTATATGTATGTATGTGTGTCTGTATACAAAAATATGTAAAAGAATCTTTAATTCTTTCATTGTAAGATCAAACAGCAACAAATAACAAAAGAAAGCAAATTTCTGATACACAAGCTGGAGGCACTTTAATTGAAAAAATACTCAAAAATAAAATATGATCTTTTTTGTACTGAAAAGTGTATAATCAAAACCAAAGACATTACTGAAAAAGCATAGAAATTAAGCTGTCATAAATAAAATGTAATTATTTGCTGCAAACAGAGGAAGACAGCAACACAAACTGCAGTGGCTTGAAGAAATCTGAAGTTATTGAAAGCAACACTAAGAAAAAGTGAAGGTGCAGTGTTAAAGAACTGCTCTATTTGCCGCAATTAGTTTCAGATAGGTAAATGACTTTGGTTTAATTTTAAATCTCTAAAGGAAATTAGCCAGCTGAGTGACCTACTGTGCTAAGCCATATTTTCCCAGAGCCACTTACCTTTGCTGAAATCTTTAGGATCCAATGATAAGCTGTAGCCAGGGAGTGTTTCCAGCAGCAGTTTGTAGCAGGCCCTCCAGCCAGGTTCGGGGATGCTAGGGGCAGCGCACTGCATTGCTGCTATACGCTTGAAAAAAGCAGACTTGCGGTGAAAACCAATACGTTCATACAGCTCAGAAAGAATGCTGTAACGCTGGATTTTTTCCTCTTCTGAAAGCTGAAATTTAAAGGGAAAAGAAAAAAGGATTGTTTTTAATAAAAATTTTAAAGTGCATGTCTTGAGTTTTTTTAAAAAAAAGTAACAGGAGGAAAAAAACATGTCGCAGACGTATCTCCAACACTACAGAAGGCCGATGATTTTGCATATAGCCAGTGATGGCAGCTTCTACTGCCAGCAAAACTTAAGCTTGCTTCAAGTTCAACATCTAACTAAAGCAGCAAAGTCAGAGTTCTTTGGCAACTTTATTTGTCAGTACTACTAATAAGTAAATAGTCAAATCAGTCAGTAACAGCTAAACAGCTCCACAATTTATGGAAGATATTTAACATGATATTCATGTGTACAATAACAACGCAAAAATATACCACTTACAAAATCTATTGATTAAGTTCATCCCTTCAAGACTAAAATTAATTCATAATCTCGAAATCTCAGGCTATGAATGCAAAGAAACTACTGCCTCAGATTTGATATTTCTCTGATCTTATAAACCACAAAATTTTCATTCCATGATACTATACCTATGCAGACTGTCAACTAGTGAGGAAGAATTTAGAGAAAGGTTAAGCCCCATTAAGCTTAAAGTCGAAATAAACTTCATGAGTAACTACCAACATGTGCTTCTTTAGCTTATCAATATATGGGCACAAGTCCCAAGTAACCATTCTTCCCCCTCTGCTTTGAGTGACAATCTTGCTTTGAAATCAGCCAGTCAAGAAGAAACTGTCGCAGAAACTCTGGAAGCTACCAACTACTTCAGGTCTACCTTAGGCCGGTAACTAGTGATGTCCCCCAGGGGTCAGTACTCAGCCCAGTCTTGTTCAAATTGTTCATCCATGACTTGGATGAAGAGGTAGAGTGTACCCTTAGCAAGTTTGCTGATGACACCAAACTGGGAGGACTGGTGGATACACCAGTAGGCTGTGCTGCCATTCAGCGAGACCTGGGCAGGCTGGAGAGTTGGGCAGAGAGGAACCTGATGAAGTTCAACAAGGGCAAGTGCAGGGTCCTGCACCTGAGGAGGAATAATCTCATGCATCAGTACAGGCTCAGGGCGGACCTGCTGGAGAGCAGCTCTGTGGAGAGGGACCTGGGTGTGCTGGTGGACGACAGGTTAACCATGAGCCAGCAGTGTGCCCTGGTTGCCAAGAAGGCCAATGGGATCCTGGGGTGCATTAAGAAGAGTGTGGCCAGCAGGACGAGGGAGGTTCTCCTTCCCCTCTACACTGCCCTAGTGAGGCCCCATCTGGAGTACTGTG